ATCTTCTAAACATCGGTACAAACATGTAAGTCTCTTTCCTTAAACTATTTGTTATCTTATCTGACTTGCAAGTTGATTTGTCATTATGGTGGAGATTGTTGTGTATTTTTTGTGATGCCCAAATAATCTCAGGGCGATAATGAAAAATAGTGGCTCGTTTAACTTCATAGGCTATAAGCCCGAGATTAAAGAATAACTAAAGTCCACACCACAAATGTCGTAGCCCAAATCTTGTTGGATATTTAGTGGAAATCAGCCCATTGGGTTAGATGATCAATACCCAACTTATTAGAGATAAAATGATAAGAGTGTATCTCTTCCTTCATTCAAAAACTTGTAGAACTCTATCTCTTATCTAACCAATTTTCGGTTTTGATAATGTCTATCATTGGAGAGAAAAATTCGGGAAATTGATTCAACTCCTTGCCTATAAATTGGAAACTCGCGTCCTTAATTCAATACACCAAAAATTCACTTAGCTTTGTGCTTTAGAAGAAGTAATAACCGGTTCTCTGCTCTGTGCTTGAAACCTTCTCTCTGCTTTATGCAATCAGCTTCTGTTCTTCCATGCCTTGGTGTGCTCTTTTGTTTTCTTCGGGTTTGGTGATACCTTTGTGATTGTGGATCAGTTTTCCCGAGCCTAAACGAAAGGAGAATTTATTGTTTTTATTGTTCTTCATTTTTTAGATTCTTAGTTTGATTTCATTGATTTATTGTAATTCCATAACCTAATTCTTTGATTTGTTCAATTGTAGGTGGAATTAGAATCACATCGGTGTCTCTCTTTCTCTTCATGGCTGATTCTTGTGCTTGTCCGAAAAAACTGAACTCTAGGGTGTATCAACAAGCTTCTTTCCCATTATCAGTTTTGGAACATGGTTGCAAGTAAACTTGGATGTATTATTCCTTTGACAATGCTCTTGGGTTCTCAAAAGACTTCTCTTCAGTCTCAGTTACCTTTCATTTCATTCATTGTTCTATTAGGTCCTTATCTTCTGCTTCTGACAGTACATATACTGAGATGGTAACATGGCACTGCCAGTCATCAGTATGGTTAGTAACTCCAGTTGTCTATAAAGCATACCATATGTTGCAACTAACGAGGGGGCTAAAGCTTGGTGTTGAGCTTGGTGCACCGTTATGGACGGTGCTTACTATTAAAGGGCTTGGCATATTGTTGGGTGCTTGTTCTTAGAATGCAGCTCACGAGGGTTGTTTGGTACACTGATTTTACTGATCGTACTTATAATCAAGAGCCATCTCCTTTTGTTGATCTTGATAGATTCTTGCTGATGAATCAGCCACTGGCCTTACGTACTAAATCTGTAAGTACACGGTTGAAATTTAGAAGGGCTTAATATGATTTAAAAAATGTATGATTTGTCGAAGTGAATATGATAAGACAAGCACAATAATTGTCTTATATTGTGTGCTCATCATGGTATTTGTTATAAGTGTTCATGTTGACGTGGATATGTTTAGAGAAATGATAGAACGAGAAATTGCAATTTTCATTCTTGCTTTTCTTCCTATCCTCGTCCCCCTCCTTACTAACATGCTTTATTTTATTTGCTCTTTGTTTTTTAGCCCCAAAATTGCTGGTTCGGTGGTGTTTGTCACATTCATTATAAGATTCTACTCAAAAAAATAGAGCATACTGATTAAAGAGAACCAGAAAAATATGTGATGTCTCTAGTCTTACCATGATCGGCAATATAGCCGTGTGTATGCCTTATAATAAATGAAGTATTTACGTTATCATAGATAACTTTAGGAGCTGCATTTGAGAAGTTACCTAAATTACTTCCAAATGCTACGCTCATCACATGCTTGCAAAGCCTTGCCTTGGCCATGCTTCTACACTAGCTTTCAAAGCCTTATTCATTACTGTAGCCCATCACATCTTTGAAAATTTGGACACACCTTTTTATTGGAAAATTTGGTTTTATTAGTTGGTTTGACCAATTATTTTAGTGGGTTCCGTTAGTTGAACAAAATATTTCTTTAGCCGAGTGTGTTCTACTCCATGAATATATTAATGTTATGTATTTATTTTCTCAAAACTAATTTAGGGTGAATAAGAAATTAAGGCTAAAAGATTACCACTTGAAGTTGAAATAAATTAGAATAAAAATTGGTGAGAACTTGGAAAAGTGTCAATTCCACATAGGAAAGCTAGAAGAATATAAACCAATTGGTCGGCTTTTTCCTATTTTTCTGTGCATAATACGTATATTCTTCTAGAAGGGCGGTTGACGGTTGACAATTAAGCTGCCTGTCCAAACGGTTTGTTTCTGTTAAAAACACAACTTTTCGACTGTTGTATCTTTTGGACACAACCTTTCAACTTCTATAAATAGGCCCCTGTACCCCGGTTTCATTCACTCCAAAATCAATTAATTTTATTGTTCATCCGATATTATTCATTCGTCCCTGCATTATTCATATTTTGTAATCCATGTTTGGTAATAATTTTCGTGCATTTTAGTCCTCCAAATTTTAGAGATAAAAAATGTGAGTAGGTTCGCCGGGCCTTGTAATTTATAGTGCTACTATTACAAGTCGAGGTCGTTGTATCTTGGGAGACGAGTGCTGGAATACCGTCAGCATCAGTGCGGGCATTATCGACTTAAGGAGAAAGAGTTGAACTCTTGCCCCGACCATTAATATTTTTATAGCATTCATTTTGCACAACGTTATTTTGCCCAAATCTATTCACGGTGATATAATTATTTGCCAATAATTTTAAGACGATAATGACAAGTAGTAATACATCTGTCGTACTTATTAATAATGCTCACGTAGAGAATCGAAAAAATTCACTGGAGTGAATTTTAGGAGATGACAACAAAAAAAGTTGTTTTATCTCACGACTCTGAATTTATCAAATTCTTGAGTGAAGATGCTCCAAATGTTGAGGATGATGAAATAGATTCTAAAAAATGAGCAACATTCGATGCATGGAGTCATAGTGACTTCTTGTGCAGGAACTACATCCTCAATTATCTTGACAACACACTATATGGCGTATATTATTCGGTCAAGAAAGCTAAATTACTGTGAGAATTATTGGAAAAGAAGTACAAAACAAAAGATGCCGGATTGAAGAAATTTGTTGTAGGCAAATTTCTAGGCTTCAAAATTGTATTCTAAAACGGTAATGAATCGAGTCCAAGAGCTACAAATCATCCTGCATGATATACATGCAGAAGGTATGAAGCTCCGTTAGTCGTTTTAGGTCGCTGCGATTATCGAAAACTTACCACCAATGTGAAAAGATTTCAAGAACTACCTGAAACATAAACGCAAGAAAATGAGACTTGAAGATCTGATTGTATGATTAAGAATTGAGAAAGATAATGACAAGTTTGTAGGTTTAGACTAGTATTTGAATCTAACAAGTTTGTACTCACCAAAAATGACATGTTTGTAGGCAAATGGTACTTAGTCAATGGGCTATTCAAAATGAATGTAATGCATGTACTTCGTGATTTTGATATTAATAAAAATAAATCTTCTGCTTACTTGAAACATGTGTAGAAACTAAATTAGCTAAAACACTGTATCATTCAGTTGAAAGGAACTCGAATCCTCTAAAACTAATTCATAGTGATATTTGTGATTTAAAGTTTGTACAAACTAGAAAAGGTAAAAAGTATTTTATTACTTTTATAGATGATTGCACAAGGTAATATTATGTCTATTTGCTAAGAAGTAAAGACGAGGCCTTAGAAACATTTAAATAGTACAAGAATGAGGTTGAGAATTAACTAAGCAAATGAATAAAAGTTATTCGTAGTGACAAAGGTGGGGAATATGAAGCGACATTTGAAATTTTGTTCAAATTATGGGATTATTCATCAAACTACAGCTCCTTGTTCACCTCAGTCGAACGGTATTGCGGAACGCAAAAATCGTACTCTAAAAGAAATGATGAACGATATATTAATTAGTTCTGGTTTACCTCAAAATTTGTGTTGCAATTCTCTCAACTAATCACATTCTAGATAAATTACCACACAAAAGTAGGAATAAAACTCTTTATGAATTATGAAAATGTCATAAATTTACGTACAAATACTTAAAAGTGTGGGGGTATTTGGCTAGGTAGAAATATCAAAGCCTAAACAAGTTAAATAGGGCCTAAGACCATCGATTACATATTCATTGGATATGCTAATAACAGTAGTGTTTATCGTTTCCTTGTACATAAGTCTAATATTTCGAATGTACATGAAAATACTATCATTGAATTTAGGAATGCTATATTTTTTAGGACAAGTTTCCTTATAAGGATATGAAAGAGATAAGTTCGCAAAAAGGAATTTATGATTCTGCAATTGGTAATCATCAAAGTGATGAAGAACTAAGATGAAGTAAAAGGACCAAAACATCTACATGTTTTGGTCCAGATTTTTTAACTTATTTGTTAGAAAATGAACTTAGGACATTCATGAAGCAATGTCTAGTCCAAAAGCTCTATTCTGGAAAGAGGCTATCAATAGTAAAATTAATTCTATTATGCAGAATTATACCTGGGAGTTGGTAGATCTCCCATTTGGTAACAAATCGTTTGGTTGTAAATTGATTTTCAAAAGAAAATTAAAAACTGATGGATCAGTTGATAAATATAAGGCCAGATAGGTAGATAAAGGATTCAAACAAAAAGCAGGCCTTGATTTTTTCGCTACATACTCACCTATGACAAGGTGATCAGTTGATAAATATAAGGCCAGATTGGTCGTTAAAGGATTCAAACAAAAAGAAGACCTTGATTTTTTCGATACATACTCACTGTGATAAGGATAACATCAATTAGAGTATTAATTGCAATCGCTGTATTACATAATTTAGAAATCCAGTAGATGAATGTCAAAACAGTTTTCTTAAATGGTGAACTAGATGAAGAAATTTACATGGAACAACCCGAATGGTTCATTACTCATTGACAGGAAAAAATGTGTGTAGACTCGTTACGTCATTATATGGACTAAAACAAGCGCCAAAACAATGACATGCAAAAATTGACAAACTTTGCTATCAAATGATTTTAAAATTTAGCGAGTGTGATAAATGTATTTATATTAAAACCACACCTAATGCATATGCAATCGCATGTTTATATGTTGATGATATGTTAATTATGGATAGTAATTATGATATCATAGCAAATACCAAGAAAATGTTGACAAAATATTTTGACATGAAAGATATATGTATTGCAGATGTAATATTAGAAATTAAAATCCTTAAAACATTTGAGAGACTTGTCTTCTCAATCTCACTATATTGAGACTGTACTTAAGAAGTTTCATATATATGATGAAAGTCGAGTTAAAACACCGGTAGACTTAAGTCTGCATTTGGCCAAACATAAAGGCGAACTCGTATCTCAATTAGAGTAATCTTGGATAATAGGCAGTCTAATGTATATTACAAACTGTACTCGTCCGGATATTGCATATGTAGTGAACAAACTTAGTAGATATACAAGTAACCCAAATAATGACTATTGGAATGCACTGGTAAGGGTTCTTAGATATCTACGATATACCTCAAATATTGGATTACATTATGCTAGATATCCAGTTGTATCAGAAGGATACAATGATGCTAATTTGATATCAGATACAAAAGACTCAAAATCCACTATTAGGTATGTTTTTACCATTGGTGGTGCGGTCGTATCTTGGAATGGATATTGCGTATGCAGTAAAAAAGCTTAGTAGATTTACAAGCAACCCAAATAATGACCATTAGAAGGCATTGGTAAGGGTTCTTAGAAATTTACGATACACCTCAAATATTGAATTACATTATATTAGATATCCAACTTTATTAGAAGGATACGGTGATTCTATTTAGATATCATATACAAAAAAAACTCAAAATCCACTAGCGGGTATGTATTTACCATTGCTGGTGCCATATCTTGAAAATCCTCTAAACAAATATGTATAGCTCAATCCAAGGTAGAATCTGGGTTCATAAGTTTAGATAAAGTTGAAGAGAAAGTAGAATGGCTTCATTGTTTTTTAGAGGATATTCTATAAAAGCCTAAACATGTGCCTGCAATTAGTATGCATTGTAATAGTCAGTCGGTTATCGATAGAGCACAAAGTAGTATGTATAATGGTAAGTCTCGACATATTCATCGAAGACATAGTATAATTAAGCGGTTAATCTCAAATGGTGTTATTTCCATAGATTATGTAAAGTTTAGAGAAAATCTAGCGCATCTGCTTACTAAAGGCTTACCAAAAGATCAAGTATACTGTCTATCAGGGGAATGGACTTAAAGTCTACTATACAAGAATCTTTGTAATGATAATCCAACCTTGCTGACTGGAGATCCCAAAAATCTTGGTTTAATAGGACAACTAAGTTATGAAGATTCAAAGAAACACTTAAGAGTTAACTCTAACCCATTCATATGATAAAAAAGTGCTATCTGCAGAAAGTTTTAGGTTAAGTTATACTTTTAAGGATTCATATATATTAAACTATCTAAGTGGGGTATGATGGTACTCTTAATAAGAGATCACTTATATAAGTGTGAAATGTGGCCGCTTCTATGAGAATGTTTCAAAAGCTTGAATTCTCTAAATCACTTATGAAATTCAAGAGTTGTTTATGACCAAAATGAACACAACAGTGAAAACAAAAAAAAAAATGTTAGGGAGGTTATTGTGTTGATACTTTCGTCTTAATTTACGCAAACGGCTAACAATTCAAGACACCGCATTCACTGATTAGCCAAGTAACTGTAGGTTCAAACCTATAAAGTACCTATCCAGATGCAATAACATTCCGTCTGATCTTTCTATAGGGTCTGCATAGTTTATTGTATTAATTTCCATTCATGTGGGGGGATTGTTGGAAAAATTGATTTTATTCGTTGGTTTGACCAACTTTTGATCAATTATTTTAGTGGGTCATGTTAGTTGGACAAAATATTTCTTTGGCCGAGTGTATTCTACTTCATGAGTAGATTAATGTTATGTATTTATTTTTTAAAAATCAGTTTATGGTGAATGAGAAATTAAAGCCAAAAGATGACCACTTGAAATTGAAATAAATTGGAAAAAAAATTGGTGGAAAATTGGAAAGTGCCAATTCCACATAGGAAAGCTAGAAGAATATAAACCACTTTATATTGCTCAAGTTTGAGATTTAGATTTGAGCCCCAAGAAGTACCAATAGTTTTTGAAGGGGAGAAAACCTATATGCAAGTAGGTTGGGCCAAAGCCCACACGCGCACACTGTTGTCGCATCCGTTTGTCTGGCTTGGCACGGGCATGGGTCGTGGGCTTGGGCTTGGACTTGGACTTGGACTTGGGCCGAGCTGATATATATTTTTTGGTAAAATAATATTTGAATTATATTATTTTTTCCCTATTTTTATGTGCGTGACACGTGTATTCTTCTAGAATGGTGGTTGTCAGTTGACGTTTGATAGTTGAACTGCATGTCCAAACGGTGTGTCTGTTGAAGACAACTTTTTGGTCGTTGTGTCTTTTGGACACAACCTTTCAATTTCTATAAATAGGCTCCCATACCCTAGTTTTCGTTTACTTCAAAATCAAATCTGATTTTATTCTTCATCCGATATTATTCTTTCGTCCTTACATTATTCATATTTTGCAATCCAGGCTCGAAAATAATTTTCGTGCATTTTAGTCCTCTAATTTTTAGAGAGATAAAAAACGTGAGCAGGTTCGCCCGGTCTTGTAATTTGCAGTTCTACTATTATAAGTCGAGGTCATTGTATCTTGGGAGACAAGTACTGGAATACAGTCACACTAGTGCAGGCATTATCGTCTTATGGAGAAAGAGTCGAACTCTTGTCTCGACTATTAATATTTTTATAACATTCATTTTTTCATTCAATTAACGGTGATATAATTATTTGCCAACAATCTTCAACACTTTTAGTACCAGTTAGAGTTTAGGAAGTTTTTGGCTTTTGGATAACCTACTAATCTGAGGTCGAGATTGTTTAATGTACCCCATGGCTAGTATTGATCATCGGCTTGGCAAATTCAGCCTCGGTGGAGTTACATACACGTTTTTAATGCTTATTCAGCTCGTGTGGCTCCCCAATTAAGCGACGTATCTGCTAAGTTGGATATGATGTAAAGGAGTTTAAGTTACTTGATAGTGAGAATGTTTGAATCTGTGGTGGTTGAGAAACTCATTATGCATCTTTTAAAAGGTAGTTAAAAACACAAGTGAAAAATGGAAAATGATTGCTAATTTCTTCCAATAATAGAGGAATTAGCTGCTTTAGCCTCGAGACATGAGAAGATCAGAGTTGAAGATGAAAAAGGTACCAATATTTTTACTCTTTTTGTACTGTTTTAAATGATTTAGTCAAAGAGGGCAAAGCTTGGTGAAATGATCTTTGATTACAAATTGCAATGATAACAACAAAGTGCACTGGTTTAGATTTTGAGCAGTGATTTTTAGAAGAAAGTGTGATTAAAGTGTAGGGTAAATTTTGAATTTACGTTCAAAATATTTTATTGTATAAATGTGTAGTTGAAAATGAGTATGTAGAAAAAAAGAATTTGAAAATAATGATTGTCAAACATGAGCTTATTTATTCATCTTTTTGAGCTTCTATTGAATTGAGAAAATATCTTATGTTTAATGTCAATTGTTAATAATGATATTTATTTTTCAAATAATATCCAATACTATACTAAAGTTGTGCATGATTGAAACAGAGTAAGATGTAATTCTATTGTTTATTTTAAACAAAAATTTTTGTGTTTTAATAGTGAATATGACTTTAATTTAATACATTGGATTTTCTTTTTATTTTATTTTTATTGCCCCAATTACTTCTTTGTTTGACAATTATTATTTGAAAACTCTTTTTTCTCTATATTCATTTTCAATAACACATTCATATAATAAAATATTATACATGTAAACTTAAAAATTCGTACATTCTCTTAAAAAGTATTATTCTAAATATTGGTTTTACCAAATAATGGCCACCAAAGAGGGGCACATCCTATCTAATCTTATTTTTTTAATCAATTTGGTGTACCAAACGGCAAGCACAATCACAAGGAAATCGGAATTAAGAACAAAAATAGAAAGGAAAATAATAAAAGAGTCGTCTACTTGAAAACGTCACAACTCGCACGAACTGGAAGCATACAACGAAAATCGCATAACCGAAAACGCGATAATAGTACAAAGATTATGTGACGGAGACACTTTCCAAGTGTCCATTTGCCTAGTATATTGTTTCCTCCGTCTAAGAACGTGCACATTTTCGAAACCCAGATCTCTTTCTTGCCTTTACAGAATCGTGCTGTAAATTCTCTCCGCACAGGCAACGGAAACGGAAACGGAAACGGCAACGGCCTTCCAAATAGTTCTCCGGCGAATAATTTCGCGATCAACATAGACATGAGTAACAGCGAGCTCCTCCAAATCGAACCTCTCGAACTTCAGTTCCCATGTAACAATTCTCTCTCTCTTAACATTTTAACACGCACACCACAGAGGTATAAGAATTTGTGTTTTGACGAGAATAATTTAATTCTGTTTGCTTCGATCTGTGTTTTTGTTGTTCTGAATTCTTCGTTTTGGTGGTTGGAAAAGTCGAATTGAAGAAGCAGATCTCATGTTCCTTGCAATTAACCAACAAATCAGATAATTCCGTTGCCTTCAAGGTATCGATTTTCGTCATTCAAACTATATATCTATTCGTGTGATAATTTTTATTTAAATTAATTTTTCTATTTTTTTAGGTCAAGACGACGAATCCAAAGAAGTATTGCGTGAGGCCAAATACAGGAGTTGTATTGCCTCATTCTACTTGTGATGTCACAGGTCTCTCTCTGACTCTCTCTCCATTTATGACTNAACAAACAATAAGTCATGCATTTATCTTTGGCATGTGGAATTATTTGTGTTGAATCAGTAAGTGAATGTTAAATTTTTTGGAAGTCCAGTTACAATGCAAGCACAAAAGGAGGCTCCACCTGATTTGCAGTGCAAGGATAAATTTCTCCTCCAGAGTGTAGTTGTGAGCTCAGGAGTAACTGCAAAGGATATCAATCCTGATATGGTACAATTTATTGTAATGCTAGTGTATTTACTATGCAATTAAGTAGCTGTGGCTGGAAAGGTTCGGTTAAAAAAGTAAGCTGTAAAATGTTTTTTCTGGTTTTTAGTTTAGCAAAGAGTTGGGGAACCGTGTTGAAGAATGCAAGTTGAGAGTTTCATATGTTCCACCCCCACAACCACCTTCGCCTGTGCGAGAAGGTTCAGAGGAAGGCTCCTCACCAAGGGCTTCATTGTCGGACAATGGGACCGTAAATCAGATTCCTGACTATAATAGCGTGAGTTTTTTAGATGTCCTCATATTTTGATGTGAAAGATATGTTCTTTTTGACTTCATAACAAATTTAACATAATGGGAATTATGAAAGTTCTAATTTATTTTAATGATTTTTCAGATGTCAAGAGCATACGTTGACTCACTGGAGAACACACCAGAGGTTATATACTACATTCTTAGTATTTTCTATCATTGACAATGTGCTTTATCTTCTTGATCTTGCGGTTGGTTCATGTCTGGATATCCTTATTGTACCTTGGCATAAGTTTGATTCTTCTGTGGTGGCCAATTTATAACAGTTTTCTTTATACGTCATGCACTTATTTATCTAACTTACTCCATGCTCCCGATAACAATAAGAAAGTCTTAAGTATACAAAAGGTTCCTTTGGTGTTGAGTTTAGGTGCTCGTCTTTTGTCCTGCTTTTCATACTTGCTGAGGTAGTTTATGAATACCGGTTTGTCATTAAGTACAAACTTTGGAAATCAAAATGTGCATATTAATCCATGTTAACAATTGTTTCATGGTTGGCCAGTTGGGTGTGGTGTGTGTATTTTTACATTTGATATGCTGTCAAGGTTTTGAAATGTTTTGATGAGAATTTTTTTGCTCGCTAGAACCATCCTGAGAAGAGTATATTAATTTGATAAAGGTTTCTCTGTGCTCATGCTACATCTAATGGTGTTTGCATGTGCAAAACAACAAAAAAATTGTTGTTCTTGTTAATATATATGGCTAATTTTTTTTACCAAGTTAATACTCTAAATTAAGTTCATAATGAAGTTACCAAAGAACTGGGGATTTTTTTTGGGGGGTAAATCACTAGCCACGCCCTCCATGTGCCTGAAAGTGGCAAACTTCATATGCAGGATTAAATCATGTTCAATAAAAGGAGTAGCCGTATTCTAAAGATTTTAGGGCATATTCAGTTTTAAGGAAGTTATGTATATTTGTGTCATTGAAATGTGCTGAGGACAACACCAAAACTAGTATGGTACTTCAGCGGTCAGGCACTCTAATTATTAATATTTGGCATAAGCATCAAGAATTTCAAGGATCTTCTTCCAAAAATAACAATAATAAAACACTTCGTTAATATTTTTTTGGAAAAATATCCTTTTGGTATCATGACTAAAACATATTTAGATATATTTATGGTACATTCTGTGTAGCAAGGTTATATAAAAGGTTTGATAGTTTGCTACTCAACAAGGAACATAGCCTCAAAAGGCATAGAATAGCAATAATGACTGAAGTCTTATTCCAAGTACTTTTACGATCAACCGACATTAAATTCTTTTTCGCAAATTTGTACGAGCTGTTTCTATCTCTACTGGAAGATTTAATGTAATCATTTCTTGCATAATAACATCAGAAAATGATAGTTTTGGCCTATTTCTCCTGCTCTAACCTAATCTACCAAGTTTGCCTCACTTTTGTGAACCTGAGTTTTCTTAGTCTTGTGCAAGACTTGCCTCTACCTTGTAAGTGATCCCTCCATTGATTAATAATTAATCGTTGTTGAAAGTTCTAAATTATTTAGACCCACGAGCAAAATTACACAATTAAAACAACAAATAACTTTTTAATTGTTTTTAGATGGTTAGATCATACAAGTCAATTTATCATAAGTTTGAATACTACGATCAATAATTAAAGTAATAAAGAACACCAAAGATGATTACGGAAAAACCCCAACTAGGTAAAAATTTCGGACACTTTGTCAGTCTATAATCCACTACAAATCGAAGCAAACTTACTGTACGGTCCAGACCCGTCTATCCCATAGAACTTCTGACCTCAATTCCAGTAGTCTTCCTTGATCCTACTAGAGGTTCGCTCCTTCAAAACAATCCCGATTCCTGGTTTATACCTTAACCTTCCTGGATTGCGTGCTCCTGACGCTAGATCCCCACTCCTGGTACCTCACCTTAATCCTCCAAAATTTGTGCTTATGCAACAGCTCCTGATCCCTAGTATCAATTTATCTTTGTTTGATCAAAAGATTTTGTGGTTTTATATGAAACAATATGCCATGACCAACAAAATATGATTTGGAAGAATTTATGGATCAAGTAATATGCGGTAGTTGAATCTTGGAATCAATGAATGTTTTTTTTTATAGGTAATCACGAAATCAATGAATGTTTTTGATCATCAACGAATTGATCTCTATGAAATAAATTTAAAAATTACTTATCAAAAAAAAATTGATCTCTACGAAATAAATCTGATTTAACACAGTTTTGGACGTTCATATGGTATGATATATATAGGGAAAAGTGTTAGGGATAAAAAGGGATTTAAAAACCAAGAGTTTGAAGCAAAATAGAATCATGGATGTCGACTTGTTGCTCGAGCGTCAAACCAGCGACAGGCGGGCAGCACTTGAGCAGTCCTCAGTATTTTTATCATAACTTTCTCTCCCAATGTCCGATTGAAGTGATTCAAAATGAGTTCGAAAGTTAACTCAAAGGGCTACAATTCGTCTAGAAGTAGCATTATCCAAATTCCAATGTTTTCTATGTGAAAATTGTGTTGCAAGTTGCGACTGATAATTTGGAGCATAACTTGTGCGGTTTTTTGACACTTTTTAGACTTATAATTGCATTCTCTTGATCACATGTGATCTTCTTGGATATCTTGGACTCTTTTAAGGACTATTCTACCAGTCATAACTCTTTTGACTTTGATTAGGATTCAGTAACTCATATTTTGACTTTGATTACAACTCCTAATACAATTCAACTATAACTTGATTTTGACTAAGGAAATTGTCAATTATAATTGGGACTTAACAGTTGTCATCTCCACTTCTGGACTTGTATTCTCATTTCTTTATCTTAACTATGGACAGACATACATTTTAACACACCCCCCATCCCCCCTTTTTTTCCCATGTACATCCTAAGAACATTTTTTGCTTTAACGGCCTAATAGTTGATACCATAATGCATAACTGGTCTAATAATATTTGGAACTTTTCTTTTAACCATTTGGATATCTTATCCTTTGTAGAACCAATACTCCACTTAGGGTGAGGTGTCAGTGACGCACTTGCATTGATTGGACACTTGTCTGTCACACCGCGTGGCATGTGTTATATTTTCTAATATATTAGTTCTATATATAATATCATAGAAGGAAGTCACTTTGCTCTAACATCTTCAAGTGATCGGCATAATTTACACCTTTGAATGTCTGGAACAATGGTTGTTTTCAGTCAGTATGTACATTTTCTGGCTTTGGTCAAATCTTACCAGTATTTGAAGCCTTCTAAGCAAACAGTTTACTTTTCTGCGACTAATGGGTATGTATACTCATTTTCATGCAGGCTGTTTTCACCATTCATTGTTATTTTCTTTTAGTGCTGCAGTTCATTCATATTAAGGATCATTGTAGATTTTCGTAGAACTGGGTTCTTGTCATGATCATTAGTCTTTTGTTTCATTTGCAGATTAATGCTCAGATTTCTAAGTTGAGAGAGGAGAAAAATACTGCAATTCAGCAAAATAAAAGGCTTATGCAAGAACTGGTTAGCCCTTTCTATTCGCAAATGTCCTATGTTGTCTTGGCCTCTATTTGATTGCAATTTTCTATAATATATTAAATATCACATTGAGTGATAATCATTTTTTGGAGGATTTTAACCCTACTACAATTCAATTATTTTAATAATACCTTACTTTTCACTTCAATATGTATTTAATTTATTTAACCATTTACTTTTCACTTTTCAACATGAATTATTTTGACAACTATTTAGTCACCATTAATACACGTTTGTTTGATAAATTCATTTCACTTGTGTGCTTTCACCACATGAACCTCAACTACAATCTCTAATAAATGCTACAAAATTCTTTTTCATGTATGAGTTCCTAGTTATCAATTCTCAGTTAATTAACATTCACATTTATTTAATTAATATTCATCTCCATTTATGCATTTTAGTATTATTAAATCCTAATTATAAGTTAATTAGAATTTCACATTCAATAATGCATTCCATAATTCCCATCTATGTATGCTAATTAGCATCCATATTCACTTAATTGAAAATTAAATTATATTTATTTAGTATAAATGATTTAACATTCATTGTCACGTATATTTTTTCTAGTACTAATTCTAAATTAATTAAGATTCACATTAATTCAATGTATCGTATTTGCTTTAACCATTTGAACAATATTTCATGAATTATTGTGCCAACTATTTTGTTTTCATTAATGCACATTTGACATATTTATTTTACTTGTGTGTGCTTTCACCACATGAAACCCAATTACAAATTGCAATAAATACTACGAAATCCTTATCCATGCATGTATTTCCTGTTACTAATTCTCTATTAATTAACATTCACATTCATTCATTTAATTAATATTCATCTTCAAATATTATTTTTACAGCACTTATAAAGTGTTAAGAATTGGGATTCCATCTTAAAAGGTCAATCTTATTAAGAGGAGTAACCCAAACTCTTATAAATTGATATATGTTTTCATCTTTATTCGATGTGGGATTTTATTCTGTAACATGCCCCATCAAGATGGTGGTTCATTTGAGCAGACTAATATTGAAATTTGTGTGCTCAATTTTTTTGAGTCTTAATCGGGTTGAATTACTCGTTGAAGCTTAACGGGTTCTGATAACATGTTAAAGAATAGGATTTCATTTTAAAAGGTCAACCTTATTACGAGGAGTAATCCAAATTCTTATAAATTGATTTATGTTTTCTTCTTTATTCGATGTGAGATTGCATTCCTTAATATAAAGCATTTCAGAAAATAGCATGCAACGCATGTTCAACTTCGACTAGTAAAGAAAATTAGGGGAAAACAATGTTTTGAATAATGATTTTTTGAAGAATATGTGGTTCAAAAATAAGGAAAAATTTTGGATTTACGTGCAGAATATTTTATTGTGTAAATGTGATTAAAAATGAGTATGAGAAATAAAGGGTTTTAATTTATAGAGGGTCAAACAGGGGCTTATTTTGTTTCCTGTGCTTGTTGATTCCTTTTATTTGCAGGATAGTGTTAACATGAACTTAAACTTCTTGAGTTAAACCAATCACCCTCTCGCCCATTTAGGCCAAAAGGAGAAGATATAAAAATTGGACATTGATATCTTCCTCTTCTAGATTACATTTAGGAAAATTTATTCTGGTTTAAAAATTTGGGCTTGAAACTGTGTTGCATGTTTATTCAGAACACATGATCCTGCACATGTTGCAAAATCCTCAATGAGAAGAACCATTTACCAATCTCACCTAAACTGCCATACCAATTAGAGACTAATCACTCACCAAGATATATTTTAGTTGGAGGTGATTAGTGTTTTCATGTTACTTGTCAAATTAAAGCTGAAGTGAAAACACTAATTATATATATATATCTGTTTTGGCCTATATAAAATTAGTAAACAGCAAAGAAACTTGTTTATTTCTTCTCTTGGTTTTCATTTGGTGGGAGGGAGATCCCGACTCCTCAATGGGAAGGCAGGGTGATGCAAATTGAGCCTTTGGCACTATTACAACATTCATATTTCTTGAAATGGAAGTCCCTTCAAAATTATGATCCAACTATGCATGTTCTTACCATGTGCAGGAGCTCTTGAAACGTCAAGGTAACCGGAGCCATGGAGGCATCCCATTCGTGTATGTTATTATTGTTGGCTTGATTGGCATCCTTTTAGGGTATCTTCTGAAGAGAACATGATTCCCAGAACTCGGTGTGTATCACATTACAATCAAGTAATTATCGAACTGTGAAAAGAAAAATGTTTTAAGACGAAGTCAAATATGTGCCTGATTGATAAGAGCTTTGTATTCTATTTAGTTGTTTCGTTAATAGCAGGGAAAAATGCTGACGTGGGTTTTGATGGGTTCCGTTATTTGCCTGGATGAGGAGGCTTCAAAAGCATTGATTATGTGACTAATTGCTTTTATATGTTCATTTCTTTAACTTGTGGACATTATTTATTCGACTAGCTTATTTTTTCTCTTGATTTTCTTGTTCCAGTTGTCGGACCACTATATGTTCTGTGCTTTTAGGATAAATTGCTGTTAAAATATTTATTTTTTAGCTACATATCTTCAGTTTGTAATTTATGTATCAATCCCCTAGTTATTGTTTCATGAGCTATTTTTTTCTTCTTATGTTTTTGAATGTAATTTTGACAACCTCTGAGTAGCAATATTGACTGTGGTACCATTGGTTCGACAAGACTGGACATGATAATTGACAAGTTTTATCTTATTCTTCAGTCCAGTTTGAGTGCGGGCTTGTACTAAACATGCATGTGGATCTGAGGAAAGTAGATGAAAAATAAATCTTGAACAATAGAATCTCTTCAATAGTTTTTGAATAATCTTCTTGAATTCTTTTCTTCTTCCAAGATTTGAGGAAAGGTACGAAATTTTTGTATGTGATTGTGAATTGGAAGCCTCTTACCCTTGAATGACAAATAGGTCTCCTTTTTATAACCCCGAGATTAGGTTAAAATTCATATACCATTTTCATTTGATGTAGAAGTTGAATTAATCTACAAAAGAAATTTTTTTGTCTTGCCCGACCATGCAATCGAATGGTTAGAGGTATTGCGATCGCATGGCTAAAGGCCATAACATGCAAGTACTATATTATATCCTCTTGTGATTGCATGGATCGATCCTTGTGATCGCAAGGTTTGATCGATTTTCTTCCCTTTTTAACTAGGTCTCCAGATGTTTTCTTTTGTTCAGATCAAGTCTTTTCTTATTTTTATCATATGTCCTTCACTTTTCAATTCTTTATAATTTAATCTACATAAACCGCAATCATCTAAAATTGGTCCGTCTCAAATTTTAGAAGTTTGAATTTATCTCTAGAAATTTGTAAATCTCCTTTGATTGCCATTTTAATGCTTCTCATTAATATCGTGCAATTCGATTAACCTTCAATTGCTCTGAATCAACTCCAATTAACGACAAATTGTTCTAGTTCTCTCCTTAGATTTTGAGATGTCTTAGTTTGCGATTTGTATATTAATACCTAAGTTATTGTTTTATGAGCTAAAATTTTAATTAGCAACATTGACATGTGTGGTACCCGTGTTTCGAGGGACCCGAAATGATAACTAACAAGTTTTATCTAATACTTGTGTTTTCTTAGTCCATTTCCGACTTTGTGCTTGTACTGCTTAAAGGAATATTAGTTGTAAGCTAGAATTTTGAAATTTAAATATTTCGAGTTTAAAGTATAATTGAAAAAGAACACATTTGATTTTCTTTTACTAATAATATAGTAATATGAATAAAGGTAATGGTAGGTTAAAAAAGACGAACGCTTTTGTCGCGAAGAGCGATTGTTTTAGCTTTTTAGATGTTTATTTATCAATTGGGGAATGCAATGTATTACAGGAAGAACAAGTTAGACCGTTCAAATCTTCTAGTAGAAGTAGTTATGAACCAATCGCGACCAGAAAAAAATTTATATAGTTGATCGTCATAGTCAAATGCCCTCGAGACGAATTTGTTCAAGATCATCAATTGCCCGACTAGTTGTTTAAAACTTTTTATTTACCAATGGTGACTTATAAATTGCTAAACTTAACTCATAAATTGCTATTTTTTTGTTGGGATTGATAATGATGTAAGCCAGAAAAATATCAAAAACTAGTCCATCCAAAGAGAAAAGGGGTCTCAAAACTGTCTACCAAACATTACACACTTTTTTAATTAACTTACCATCATTTCTCAACACTTTGTGCCGTCCAATGTAGTCTATTCATATTCTATACGAAAAAACATTTGTAAATTTTGTTTGCTACTGTCACAAAAAATTGATTAGGTCTATATCAATTATATATTTGCTAGAACTTGAAACAGACAGGACAGTTCCAAACAAAAGGGTCTGCCAATTAGGTTTTTATATTTTCACCTAATTTTTGTCGCATTAACGGCTCTTAAGAAGCATGCACATGTATGCAAATATATAGATTTAGTTAATGAAAAATAGATGTTTATTGCTTTACGATACTTGGACAATCAGCTGAATAGGAACTTGTTATCGTTCTAGTTAGTTAGTTCATTTATTTATCTCGGTGAATTTCTGGTTAATTTACGGGTTTAAAGAAATATTTGGATAATATTGATTTTTTTTTTTTGTTCAAATGCAATCCAGTCTATTACACTGACTTTGATCCTTTTTAAGAGTAAGTTATGTAGTTTATGGATTGGATTGAAATGGTCAATCATGTCAAAGTTTTAAGAAGATATAGTCCGGTGAAGTGTCCAGATCGCGGCGACGTGGGCGGTTTGTTGCCCGCGACGTCGCGAGAAGTCCATCGAACTTTATCATTTAGAGAAAGGAGAAGTTGTAACAAAGTTTCTGAGGTGAACCTGCGGAATGATCATTGTCGAAACCTGCAAATCAGACCCGCGAACCTGTTTTCAACCCGTACGGGATGACATCGTGCGTGCAATAGACCGTGTTGTCCCACGTTGGAGCCCTGTTCCGTCTATGTGCGCGTACATCACATTTTTACATCATACTTGACATCATCCTTGTTGGCAAGATTTAATTGGCAAAAAAATTGTTTTATTTTTTAAATTGTCAAATGGTTGGTTAACACAGAATGTAAAACTTGGTGTATACTATGATGTACACCAAGCATGATTGGTTTTAAAGCTATGACTATAACAAAGTTGCCAACTGCCCCCCGATTTAGATTGATTTGCATAAAACAAAATTACCACCACTTGGGGGGATAAGTATAACGATGTTCTAAAAAAGTTGAAAAAGGTGCCCCAATAATACGAGTTTTGTGTTGTATATAGCCTGAAAAACAGAAGGACAATTAATGGGATCCACCAAAGGGGCTATTTTGGGTTGAACCTAAATGAGACATTTAATGTGACAACACTAGATAAAGATGAGAAGAAAGAAGAGATGGAAAAGGAAGTAATATTTTCATGCAATGGGAGAAAAGTCATTTTATACAAGCAAAGACCTAGTACAACCTTGGTCCCCCTATAGTGGGGAGGTGGGGGTGGGATGGAGGTGTCAATTGAATAGTAGCAAACTCATACTATCAAGATTTTAGGTGGTTTGTATTTCGTTTGTTATTGATCTAGCTCGATCCTTTATTTAAGTGCACCAAATTAAATTATTTGATCTGAACATGACTTGTTCTAGATTTGTTCTACGTGATTTTACGTCATCTTTTCATTTTTTTCAAATTTAAGAGTGCGCGAGCTTTAACGACGAGTCCATCATGGCTCACCTATTGAGGTGGGCTAACCCACAACATAGTTCGTTTGGATATGATTGCCCCCGTGCAAGTTCACTTGGCTTGCCATGACATACCCCTTTTTTAAATACATAACAATAACATTGTTTGTAATCAACAAGACTGATACTAGGTCGAGTTTATAAAAGCTTACAATTTATTTTTATTTTTTGAAAGAGTCTATGTAGGTCGACAATTGAGTTTATTTATAACTTAATTGTTGAGGCAGGTTGATCCACGACACGACCAATATATTTTGACGTGAGTTGGGAATGTCGAGTAATTATCGAGGGTCCTACCACAAGAAACTTTCGACATTCTTGAGTGCTTACTTTTGGTTTGTGGTGTTTATAAGCAAACAATGTATGTGGGGGAAGGAAAGTATGCGTGGATTCAAAGCTGACTAAAAACACATGGATTGAAGCAAAAGGAAAGAAATTACATTCTCAATTAAAACTTAAAGGTGAATTAAAGAATGGTGGCAAAGCATCTACAAAACTTCAAGAGGGTCTGTGTAATTGCATTTATATTAAACTATTCATGTATTGATTTTCTTAATATATTAGAAATTCTTTGGTTATAAATATGTAGTTGTACATCACATATTGGAATTAACCAAATGTCCAATTAGTTATTGGTACAAGAAATTATTTGTAACTCATTACTATTGATTAATTCATGTTACGTGCACAACATTAGTTGACAACATCCTATTTGGCATCATCATATCCATCCACTTTAAAAAACTGTTTTCTATATCATATACTAAGATTTTGACAACACATGGTTATCAACCATTGTTGTCAACCAATATTGTACACTTAGATTTATTCCTATTGATTATAGTGAATTCTTCGCCTTTGACTATAGTTTTCCCTGATTTGGGTTTCCACGTAAATCTTGTTTTCTTTGTCATCCATTATTTTCATATTACTCATATTATTCTCATATTTATTATTTGATCCAATTCTCAATATCTTTCTATATATAAAAA